ATTTAAATTATCACTAATTTTAACACTTTTGTGAAGCAAGAAGTTAATTGAGGGACTATTTCTGCGCTAGAGAAATACTTTAGATTTACGCATTTCCGTGCTCTAAAATGATTAAAAAACATAATCTTAATTGACAACAAATACTTTATATTAAATAAATATATTTCATATCAGGGGTCTCAAACTCGCGGCCCGCAGGTCATTTGTGGCCCGCACGACAATGTTTTGTCGGCCAGCTACATGACAGCAATTTAGTGTTAAAGCGGCCCGCCCATCTTCCCTATTCTCAATTCTACAATGTGGCTCACCGATTAATCTAATTCTGATTTTTAAACTGTTATTATAATGGTAAAAAAAAAAGTTTTATAATTAGTGTGTACGAGTCAAGGAAATTCCAAGCCCTTTAACTTGGTCACTTTCACAATAGGGGTTGTCAAAAAGGCCTCTTCCACGACAAAAAAAAAAGAACCATTATCCCTACAATCACATCTCTCTTTGCATCAATAATTCATAATGATTGCCTGCTCCTGCCTTCTTTTTAAACTCGTTTTAGCATTTAAAGCCTTCATGGAGAGTTTTTCCTGTACTTCCTGATCAGGGCTAGTTTTTCCTGTACTTCCTGATCCTAAATGGCTCATGGACTTAGCTTACTTTTTGACATCATACAGGAGCTGAATGTAATCAACAAGAAGTTAAAATATCAGGGGTAGCTTGTTAGTGTTGCCTATGGCAATGTCAGTGCATTCTACAAACAACTTATGATGGTTCTTAGAGAAACCTCCGCCATTACCAAACATGAAAAGAACTCTTGGACTCGGGCACATCATTCAGTTGTAAGTATACTGATGCCATTGAAAAGCTACAATAATAATGTTATTACATACTTTTATACTTCAGAACACAGTGAGCCACTGAGATTTCCAGTTTGTTCAAATGGTTCAGGTGCCTTTTTTGGAGTACCTATGTGTGTAAAAAGCTCTTTTCCACTTGGAACTTCAACAAGTCAAAGTTCTGGGCAAATTTTACTGATGAGCATATTCAAGCTATATAAAGGGTCTCAGTGTCTTCCTCAGTGTTACAGCTCTTTTTAAGAAGAAGCGCTGCCAGTTCTCTGACAACGAGGAGTTGGAGAAAGAAAGTTATACCAAATTCTTAAGATCCTTTAATTTTTTAATTTGCATTTATAAATGTTAGGGCAGATTGTAACTGTTGTACCTATTTGAATTCGTAATTGCTTTTTGTGATATACTTCATGCAAACCAGTCTCAGTCAGACACTACTTCCTGCGGCCACAGGATAATTTGAGTTTGAGAATCATATTTTGTATTAAAGGAATTTGATATATTGATATATTCATGAAAAATTTAAACAGAAAATCGTAAAACAAAGATTTTTAAAATATCTAAAGAAGAATCTCGCATCAACTTTTCACGTCTATTAACAGACTTGGGGGTCTTTTTCTTAATTTTTAATCTCATACAAATACACACTCAAATTACTTTCGCAAACTAAAAACTTAAAAAAAAAATGAAAATATATTAACCCATTATTAACCCATTTCCATTTTTCAAAATAAATTTCTAAGTGTGTAAAATAATTGGTTTTTGATATTCATGGGTAAAGTTTAATAAATGTACCCACGTTTTTGTTTACGCTATTTACTTTCTTAATTGGCAAACATATGTTTATTTGTAAAAAGAGAATGAAACATCTCTTTTGTTCATAAATGTAATACCACATGATTTAAATATATTGTCATCCACTTAAAAATTTACATATCGTATTTCGTACCTCCGATATGTATGTAGCCAAAAAAGTTAATTATTTATCAAATTCGTTCCAGTATTTTGAGACGTATCTTGAGCTGCCTGGGGCAAGATTTTTAAAAATTAATACAAATTTTCACCGGATTGTATTCCTTAAATACCCACACTAACATACTTTGCACTTCAAATGGTTTGTTCTTATTTGGATGAGTATTAAGTGGATTAGTGAATGCTATTTAGCTATGGAGTTTCGCTGCACTGATTGGCTTAAACGGCATTTTCTTAGTAGAAGTATTTTTTAAGGTTAGTTTTTATTACGTTATAAATTAAATAAAAGTATATTTTTGGAATTAAAAACGTTTTCAAAAATTTAAATTTTAAAAATGATAAGCTAAAATATGTCTCTGTTTTATGAAAAATTTAAGAAGCAATCAATTATATTTTTTAATGTTAATTACATAAGCGATACGGCTCCAATCTTAAAATTTGCTTTTTGAAAATAACATCGTTTGCTTGATATCGGAGTGAGAAGTCTTAAGCAGCAACTTAGTTACACGCATCAACAATCGGTGCGATGCAAATTTTCACCAGCTGAATGTTTCAAAAACAAAGAAAATGTTTCTTGATTTCAGGTGATTGAAAAACCAGAATACAGATCTTAACATGAACTATCAACGTGTAGAGAAAGTGGAGGCATAAAAGTACTTAGGTGTCACCATTAATAATAAGCTAACATGGTATGAGCACGGCCAAATTCTGTATATGTAATTCAACCAAAGACTGTTCTACCTCAAAAACTGTACAATTTCAGCATAAACCAGCAAGTCGTTAACTTATTCTACATTGCAAAAATTGGAAGACTACTTAATTTCAGTATTACCTGCTGGTGTGGGAATTTAACCTCTGATATTAAACACCGCATAAACAGACTAATCAAGAACGCTAGGAACATGACACAAACTAAATATCCTTCACTTGAAAAACTATTTGAAGACAGATGTTTTTGTTAAACTAAACACATTTTGGATGATACATCAAACCCTATTCATCACAGATACTTGGGTTCGGGCCGTTCGGGACGAATTCTTTCCATCAGGGCGAGGACTGACCGATACAAAAATTATTTTGTTCCCAAATCTGTAGGAATTTACCGGCGTACTTCCTCTGAAGTCACACATCTGAATGAGAACTAATAAGTTCCCGATTTTGCTAGAGAACTCAATGAATGGCTGTTTAAAATAATTTATTATTATAAATGTGTTGTGTTCAAATTGTTTCATTTTTGTGCTGAAAATTTAAAATGCAATCAAAAAACATTTCCATTAGTTGGATCAATAAAAGAATCTTATCTTAACTTATCTTATCTTATCTTAATGTGCCTGGCCAAACTCGGCACTCTGCCTTCGAGTTTTTCATCCTTAATTTAGAAAACAATAATTCAAACGTCTTTTTCAAGAAATGATCTTTTGAATAATTTCTTTGTAGTAACAATTATATATATATACATATAATATATATCTATATCTATATCTATATATATATATATATATATATATATATATATATATATATATATATATATATAAAAATATATAATATAGGAATAAAGATTGAAAATAAGCTTGAAAAACTAAGTGAATTAAAATCAGTTTAGAATTTTAAAACTTGATGATAGGAATGATCTAGTATTGTAAGGAAATCAAATAAGATTTCAATGCGCTATAATTAAATGCATCTTCTTTTGTTTTAATATTTGACTTATGTTCAGTATTATAATTTAAAATATATTCAATATAAATTTAAAGAACTACTTTAAGCATTATAGATCAATTTTAAAATTATGTTTTTTTAAATCAATAAATGATGTTCTAAGAATTGTTTAAATAAATCATAATCAAATTTATCGGGAAAGCCCAAATAACTGTTTATTTGAAACGCCTTTTTTTAAAATTCATTTTAAAATTTTTTAATAATAATTTTTTTTTTCTTGTAAATACTATTTGGCAGTGAAATTCTACATGTCACAATGATGTTTGCGTCCATGTCACAATGATGTTTGCGTCCATGTCACAATGATGCTTGCATCCATGTCACAATGATGTTTGCGTTTTTTTTTTACATGGACGCAAACATCATTGTGACATGGACGCAAGCATCATTGTGACGTGGACGCAAGCATCATTGTGACGTGGACGCAAGCATCATTGTGACATGGACGCAAGCATCATTGTGACATGGACGCAAGCATCATTGTGACGTGGACGCAAGCATCATTGTGACGTGGACGCAAACATCATTGTGACATAGACGCAAACATCATTGTGACAGGGACGCAAATATCAGTGTGACATGGACGCAAACATCATTGTGACATAGAAGCAAACATCATTGTGACATGGACGGAAACATCATTGTGACATGGACGCAAACATCATTGTGACATGGACGCAAACATCATTGTGACATGGACGCAAACATTATTGTGACATGGACGCAAACATCATTGTGACATGGACGCAAACATCATTGTGACATGGACGCAAATATCAGTGTGACATGGACGCAAACACCATTGTGACATGGACGCAAATATCATTGTGACATGGACGCAAACATTGTGACATGGGCGCAAACATTGTGACATGGTCCTTCTCTGCAAGTAAATTATAAGGCTTTTTTTAAATATATGGATCACCTAACATCTTTCAACCAATGTGCGCATAAGTCATTGAGACATACTTTTATTCTATTTAATTACAAAAGTTCACTTTAGCTTACTTGACAAATGTAATAGTGAACCATTCGCCAACCGATTGCCTTTGATTATATTAACGAGAGCTCACTACAATAAACCATTAACCCGTGATTCGATGACGTTTCCAATGTACAGCTTCCATTCGTTCTATGTTAAAGCTCACTTTAATCCTCCTTGCCTCGTTAAAGGGGAGCCTTGACACCGAAGAGTTGTGGAAAAAAGGAGTCTGAAATGTTGGATCCGGCCGACCCAGTAAAACTCCCAGAGCTGTAGACCTAACCAAATGCTGTTAACAGCTGTGTCACGTACGCCTTTTTTTTTTTGTTGGTTTGTTTTGTTTTCGTAATTTTAAACAAAACAAAAAACTCAAATTGAAATTTTCAAATGCAATTACTACTTTTTAATTTTTAAAAACACTAAAGTTGGAAGTCAATAATGATACTTAAAAAAAAAAAAATACATTAAATAAATGAAAATAATTGTGATATCATTGTGAGTTGTAATGGTTACAGTTGCTCCCCTTTTCTTGTCGATGCGTGCGGCCCGTGGTTCTCGAACTGAGATGTGAGAGGCCATCTTTGGTAGCTAGTCATTTAAAAATGTAAACACCGAGCTGAACAGACGTGTTATTTTTGCCCTTTGTTAGACACGGTTGTGCCAAATATAACATACATTTATAATATATTAATATTAGCTACAGAAAACAATAAGTTGAATCGACTTAGCAAACAGAGCGCGACCAAAGGTGTAACATGTAATTGTTTTTCCATTCTTAAACTTAACGAAGGGGAAAAAAAATTAAAATAAAATGTAACAACACTACCATAAATAAATATATGCCAGATAACTATTCAAACATTTTTACTAATGTATCTGTTACGTAAGATGAAAAAGAAAATGCAACAAATTTGTTATCATATAAAAATATATATGTCATAATTAATTTTTTTTCCAGACATGAAATTATTTATAAAATTATAAACCGGTAGGTGAGAACTATTTATTTTTGAGGATATATGACTTTGAGGAGGCTTTGAAAAAAAAAAAATTTATCACAGTCAGATCCCTAGTTCGCTGAGGTTTAATATTAACAATTATGCAATGTATTATATGGTAAGGGAGTATAAAAAATTATTGATGAGCATTTATTGATAAGCACTTATTTACCACCAGTTATTGATGAGCAGTTATTTAGCACCAGTTATTGATGAGCAGTTATTGATGAGCAGTTATTGATGAGCAGTTATTGATGAGTAGTTATTGATGAGCAGTTATTGACCAGCAGTTATTTAGCAGCATATATCGGTACCGGTAAAATAAAACACAGCTCTACGGGAACACAGTTTCAAGCGTTGTCGGCAGAGGCATCCTCATCTTTTGCTATAATCTCCTCCAAGGTAAAACACTTGGACACGCGTCGAGCGAGTGTCGGGCTGTCGATGTTGACGTGTATAAGGAATATTTGGAACTTCTTGACATTCTTGTGGTGGTCCAGCAAGTGAAGGAAAGCTGCATTGTCTATGAAGATAATAGTATTTGAAGAAATATCGTTATAATAAAAAATTAAATGAACAAAAAAGGCGACCAACCCAAAGGTTGCTATAAATTTATAGTTTGAAGATTATTTGCATTTAAAAAAGCAAAAAATCATATTTGCAGGTAAAAATCTCTTTATTCCAATATTTATGATTTAAAATCTATTATAATCTATAAAGGTATTGTGAAATTTATCTTACAGCGTATTTTTCTGTGAATGCATTTAAGCTTAAGCGTCTTACGTCAACGGCTGCAGATAGGTAAACTATTTATATACTATTTATAGGACTTGCAGACTGAGGAAGCGGGAGTCATTGACAACTGCAGTCTAATTATAGATTTTTATTTGTTTAGCTTAAAATTCCAATATCTTATAAAAATTATTACGATCATTCACATAAGATTGAAAATTAAATTCTTTCAAGCTCACTTTGATGTTTATTTTATTATTATTTTTTGTTGTTGTTGCGTACATTAAGCCAGTTCCTCTTCCATGACATTGTGTTTCTTACTTACTGGAGATGAGAATAAGTCTACTCCTAGGTTGAACCATCTCAGCAAACTGCAGCAAACTGTGTTGAATCACAGGACTAGGGTCAGCAAATGTGTGAACAGTTTTGATCTTTAAAAAAAAATTATATGTTGAATCGAGTTAGCAACAGAAAACAACTTTTCGACTCAATGTTGCAACAGAAAACAACATGTTGAATGAACGTAGCAACAGAAAGCATCATGTTGAATCAACTTAGAAACAGAAAGCAGCATGTTGAATCAACTTAGAAACAGAAAGCAGCATGTTGAATCAACTTAGAAACAGAAAGCAGCATGTTGAATCAACTTAGAAACAGAAAGCAGCATGTTGAATCAACTTAGAAACATAAAACAACATGTTGAAATAACGTAACAACAGAAAACAAAATTTTGAATAAATGTTGAAACAGAAAACAACACGTTGCCAGTACATGGATGCAGCAACGTACCCTACCAGAACCAGAACCAGAAATAGAGGGCAATTTTGTATTTAAATATCTTGTCAAACTAAAAAATTCAAAGTGGTTAGGAAAAAGAAAAGAAATTTTAATTAGTAGGCGATCTTATCATTTGTATATCCATCTGACTATTAGGTCCACATACTAAAAAACATGCACACATACATACAGATATAAATGCATGGGCCTATACATATAATTACATCCACATGCTCGCATCTTCAAGGTTATGCCAAAACCTAAGGCCTACATGATTTAAACTATTCTTAAACTTGAGCACGATTTCATAGAGTGATCATCCTTTTTAAATCCTTTGCATTAACTTCACTTATGTGTGTTTAAGACAAAAAACGTCGGCCGGCTAATTTGACCCACTTCCTGTCACCCCTTTGAGCTGAAACTTGGCACATAGACTTGTTGCCAATGACAACACATTCTTTCAAATTTTCAGCACTACCCCATCAACCTCAACCCCTAAAAAAAATCAGTTTTTTTATGGGAAAAATGTCGAACAAAATATTTTACCACTAATTTTTTCAATTAAAATCACAAAGTCGACGCTTAATGAGATTCTCAACAAAAAAAATATGGCAAGTGCATTTTGGGGCGTAATTTATTTTTTTATTCTAAAATATTTAGTGTAATAAATCTGCGGTGTAAAAGCATGTTGGACATTAGACTATTTATATAAAATAATAATAGAATTTATTAGAAAAAATTTGTTTGTAGGGGTTGTTCAATTACTTATACTTTAAAAAAGAATGTTCCTAGTCGTCTTCTATCTAAACTAGTTTCCCATTATTCTTAGAACATTTTTAATGTGCAGCCTCAAGAATTAAAAATATCATTGAAATCTTGTAACGGCTTCAATGTGTCTCCAGCTTACATACCATTAAATCTTGTAACTGCTTCAATATGTCTCCAGTTTAATTACAATTTAGTTTTGTAACTGTTCCAATGTGTCTCCAGCTTACATACCATTACGTTTTGCAACTGTTTCAACGTGAAACCAGCTTACATACCATTGAGTCGTGCAACTGCTTCAATGTGTCTCCAGCTCTCAGAACATCACAGAAACAAACTAGTTCGGACTCAGAGTAGTTGTCGTCCACACACGTTTCTCTAACAGCGTCGATCACATCCTGGACTGTAGAGCCCGCTGGTACTGGGCAGGTTTCCATGTCCCAGAAAATGCCAGCTTTTTCTAACACGAACCGACCTTAAAGCAAACGTATCATTATTGTTAAATTTGAGAATCGTGTGAAAACATTAAAACCATTCTAGTCATGACGCTTAATTTTTTTTTTAGATCTTATCAACTTGGAACTCAGAATGAGAATTAAAAGGTAAATATAACTAAGTCATAAGACACACACAAAATGTTAAAATAAACAAATATTTTGAAAAGCACTAGACCTGCACCCAATTATGAAATTTCCGCGCCTCCTATTATCGGATGATCGGGTAGATTGTTGTTCTCGTTAGATATATACAATAATGTATAGCAGGCGGAAAACAAAGTACCAAAAATATATAATAAGTAAAGCTAAAGAAACGGTTCCGGAATGACGGTAAATTTGTTTATAACGTCAACCATGGGTAAATTGTTGTGTTCACATGTGTTCAGTGTTAGATGATTTCTTAAAAATGGTAACGAAAACATCATCTATTTTCCGATGATTTACATATATATAAACTTTTTTTGTAGCTTTAGTATGTTGTTTATTTGTTATTGAACCATTACTGCATAATTAATGATTTTAAAGTGTGCAAACGGGGCAGAATTGAAGTTATTAAATGTTTTTGCAGCAGTAACGCCAGACTACAACCTGGCTTGACAGTGTAAAAGTTCTCATATTAGATACATAAAAATAAAAGAGTTATAACCATTTGTACTCTTCTGGGACATCTGTGAAGCCTGGTTCTGTGCTTCTAACGGCTGTATTTGTTGACCCTGTTGATCAGTTGAGCTGTCCTTTGGCTGGGGAGGGGGTGCTCTGATTTTATCCTGTGTCTATAGAATTTTTAAAATTTTGTAAATTACATGTGATTAATTTAGACAGAAAAAGCAGTACAATTAGTTAGAAAAATATTAAGGTAGACTCCATTAAAAATATACACATTAATTTTCATTATCTCTAATGCCTATAAATATATATGCCAATTTTTAATCTTATTATCTAAATTTTGTTTTTACACAAATAGCCCCACAAATATTTACGCAAACATCTACACACATCTCTTACGAATATCATCTAACATTTTACATGACTTAACTACTCACTGTCTTTCTTTGAGTTACCCTTCCAGTGTTATCTTTTTTGGTGTCCGAATCTCCTCCTCCCTTTTTGTTTTTTGCCATCATATCTGAAACGACATCTAATTTGGTCACTTCGTCTTGCTAATTCTTTTCAATAACATCTATTTTGGGACACTTTGCTTTGTTAATACTTTCAATAACATTTATTTTGGTCACTTTGTCTTGAAAATATTTTTTCAAAAGCATCTATTTTGGTCACTTCGTTTAGTAATTTTTATACGCCATTTTTAAATCCTCTAAAAAGTGTCTCTTAAATTTAAATCGTACGCCTTATTTAAAATACAGATAATTTTTTTAATAAATAGCTAACAAAAAAAAATTAAAAATCTGCTATTAATACGCAGAAATACAGACCTTCATAAACACATGCCTTAGAAAGATCCTGAACATCAAATAGCCAAATACCATCACTAACAAAGATCTACTAGAAAGAACTTACCAGGGGCCCATTGATGAAGACATAATAAAGAAAAGATGGGAGTGGATAGGGCATACTCTCAGAAAACGCCCAGATAGCATCGACAGACAATCCCTACCATGGAATCCACAGGGAAAAAGAAATAGGGGAAGGTCTAAGAACACATGGAGACGAGTTAGAGGCCGAGACGCAAAATATGGGACACACCTTGCACAACTGGAAAGGAAAGCACAGGATCGTTATAAATGGAATATTCTTGTTTACGGCCTATGCCCTAGACAGGATAAAAAGGCACAAGAAGAAGAAAAAACACAATATTTAAAAAAAAATCATTACGAAACTCTGAATAGTTTCTCTGTATTCAGACTGTTCCAAATGCTTAAATTGAATTATTTGCCCATTTACTTCCTCATTCTGAAGAGTCTTGATCACTCTGTAAAAAATAAGGAATAGAGATATCACGATAAGCTTGCACATAATAATATATTTAACGAAGATAAAGAAACAAAAGTTAAAGATTTTTTTTAAAATCTTGATAAATGAATAAATAATTTGGCCTATAAATAAACTATGACATTAATAAGGGTGAATTCTTTCCCTCAGTCAAAACGAAACGATTTTTAAAAATCAGATTTCCCCAACGCATCAGAGTTTACAAGCATTCTCTCACCCCCCCCCCCCCCCCCCACGGCTATTTCAAAATCTAAATGATCACTCTTAAAGAAGGCTTATTTTTCGCTTGAGAAATACTTCAGATGCTTAAATTGTTCTAGTAATAAAAGGTTTCTCTTCGTAAAAATAATTAAATTTGTGAAGGCAAGTAATATGCACAATGTTATATTAAAAAGTACTACAATTTTGGATTTTAAAAAAATGAAATTTATTTGATCTTTTCATAAATATATTAGGAATAAAATAAAATTTTAAAATACTAGTATAGTAGATAAACACATATTAGAAAGTTATTGATTAAATATGTTTCAATGTTATATAACAATTTATAACATCTGCGTTATATTTATGAAATACATTTTCGAAATAAATGGTATGGATGTGTAATTAATCGATGAAACATACTCATTGGCCGCTGGTATATCAGACACTTTTATTATAGAAAATTTCCCTTCGCATTTCACTACGGAGCCTTGCCAACGCCGAGTTAGGGACTCCAGCTTCTCCTTGACCTGGTTTCTGGGAACTTCGCTGCTAAACTTGTATCCAGTGACCACAAGCAAATTGTCGGTATCAACCTGAAACGTAATAATGACACACATAGGTGTTTGAAATTAGAGTTCAACGAAATTAACACGTTTTTTTTTTAAATAACAAATTTTTCGTAACCAATATAAATCCTTCATTAAAGTTCTTTCAATGTTTTAGCTCATAATGTGACATCTCTACAACAAACTGTGTTTCTCATTCACACGTGCAATTTTTATTTTATTTTATCTCTGATATAAATTCTTTTTTTTATAATAAAAAAGAAAAGATTATTGTCCTCTTAACAATTTCCTTCTTATGCTACTGAGTTGTTTGTTTTTTTTTAGCTGTTTTAGCTTGTGAAGAATTGTCATAAACGATATATAAAAAATCTTCACGATTATTATTTTCTTGAACTGAACTTTGTTAATGTGTCGGCTGTCAACCGTCTAACCATTGATCTCTCAACGTCAGGAAAATGACATTTGACAATTTCTTAAAATTTAATACATGTCGGTTTTATGCAAACTTACGACATGTCCGTCTCTATCCGGAAGACCATCGGTCAGTTCCGTGTAAAGGACGCTGGAACTGACGTGTTGCAGGAGCGTCTCGTTAACCGCTGGCTTGTGGACCAAAATCACTTCCAACTTCTTGGTGTTTCTGATGTAGGACACGTCATCGGCAAAGTTAATGTCAGCTTAGTTATTTGAAAAATAAAGATATTTAAAAAAAAAAATCAAAATGCTAAAAGCATAATCATTTATATCTATATTATAGCTTCTCGTGTGTCCTGTTACCCTTTCAATAATCGCTCTCAACATGTTTTATAATAATAGTACTGAGTGAAAACAAAATTGATGTCACACAATGAGCGTCATGCATGACGGTTGAACTCGGGTAGAAAGGTTGACTTTTTTTCTTTAGAAAGGAATTTTTTTTTTTTAAAGTGTTCTTCCTCTATATTTTTAGGGCCCACGATCAATGGATTGATCAATATGGCTCCTATGTTTCAGAGGGGTTCGCGATGTTACTGTGCATGGTTTTCAAGGGGATGCCTCACTGGTTGCAAGGGCTACTCAGCAAGGGTTTTATTAATTGGGTTTGGAAGACAGGAGGCAAAAGCTGCAAATGTGTCAATGTTTTTTAAAGATATATTATGTTTTTTAAGGAGATACTATGATTTATTTGGACAAACGTTTGCTTTTATAGACATCATATGATTTTTTGAACACACTATGATTTTTATGGATATACTATGTTTTTTTCACATACTATGGTTTTATTATGGACATACTATGCTTTTTTAAATAAAATACTTTGGTTTTAATGGACGGTATTTGGTTTTTATAGAATTTACGAAGAAATTATTTTATGCCAAATCAATTTGTACCTACTGTCCGTAAATCAAAAAGACAGTGGGGCCACTAAGAGTCATGTCGATTTCCGGACTCCAAAAAATGACGTTAACACGAATTTCGTCTGTGTGTTTTTACATTGTCCTCAATTTCTCAAAGTGTTAACAGAAGGAACATAAAAAAAAGATCAATACTTTGACAATTACATACGTTTTTATTAAAATTTAATTTTCAAAATTTAGATAATTTAAGGACTCATAATTTAAAAATTTTCCCTATGACCTCTAGACTGTTACAATTACCAATAAATATTTAAACCTAATAGTTACCGTGTGTGTACATTTGAGGCTATTTCTAGGTGATATTTTACATACCGGTATGTAACTAGGATGATATCCCTAAACTTCAGTGTGTGGAGATATTCCAGGATACCTTATTTCTTGACTGGTCTTTTTTTATTGGGGATATGATCAAATATTTTTTTATACATAATGCTTACAGTTGTCAAGGGCTAATCTTATTGAGGATATAATCGTTATTTGCTTTATAAATTTTGCTTACAGCTGATGAGGACTAGTTTTATTTAGGATATATTCAAATATTTGTTGATACTTAATGCTTAGAGCAGTCAAGGACTAGTCTTATTCAGGATATAATCAAATATTTGTTTTATACATAATGCTTACAGCTAATTAGGACTAGTCTTGAACTAGGTGGATGTGTATCTGCAAAGTTTCTCATTTGTAGCTTGATTTTCTCGTCTGCGGCATTTTTCAATCCTGCTGGGACATCCTGGACTGTAACCTGGACGTAAACATACGTTAAGAACGTGAATATTGGAGACCAAAATGTATACACTTTAAAAAAACAATGAAATCACCGGTAAGGAAGTATATAATTGATAACATATAGCGATATTGGACCCATACAATTTGAATGCATTAATAAGAATCTCTTATTTAGAGTTTTTAATTAAACTTTTGCCTTGCCTGTTAACCCATTTCACAGCATTCAAAGACCGAACTATATGCTGCTTGGTAACGTTCACATGTTAGAATTCAACACTTTCCTGTCAAGTCCCCTCTACAATTACGGGCAAACTTCCCATTGTTGAAATCTCTCCTGTTATTTATTATTGGGTTTGCAGAGGAAGGCATTTAGCTAAAACGTTGATTAGATTGTCTTGTGTTGCTATTCAAGCTCAAGGTATAAAAATCCTGTTTTTTTTTATATTTCATTCACACTGCTTGAATGTAGTCTCTAATAGGGATGTTAAAAAAATTTTTTTTTTTTGTTTTTGTTTTTTTGTTTTATAAATAATTTTTAAAAAAAAAATGTTTTTTTTTCAGAAATTTAGTTTTTAACTGGTATTCGGATCCTAAAATAAGGTATCGATTCCCACACAAACGCATGAGTTTGTGTTGTGATTGCTCAAATAAAAATAAATATTTACTATGGGAGAAGAGTGGATATGTAGAATCATTTCAACAATGTTAAAAATGCTGTTGTCATTGGTTAATAAAGGATACTGTTTTAAAGAACTCTATTGCTAAATTACTGTATTGCTTCCCACATTTTTGATGTTTCGGCATTTATATTTTGAATTAAAAAATGAATATCCTTAAGATGAATTTTATTAGTGTAGTTGGAGTTATTTATTTAGGTTGGTAGACATTTTGTACGTAATCGTTTTATGTAAAGTCTTACGCAGCAATTGAGGAGGCTGCTCCTAGGCAAACGTTTCGTCCATTGCTTCGTAAATTAGAGGCGAGGTAGAATCACACTGTAGAAATCCGTATAAGAGGGTGTCTGTTGTTGGCAAAGGGTGATCTCCAACGTGTCACTTTGCGGCCCGATATTCGGGCTTACGGTAGGGGTTCTTTGGGGAGGGAATAAACAACTTGGTACTAGCTCGTCGGCTCGCTTACGGCATTTCCTAATGTAAAATTTCAGTGTCAAAATCTGGCTAAGCCACTGTTTAATTAACATCATACGTTTTTTAACGTTCAAAATATGTTTGAAATGACACGTAATGAATACAATGTATATTATAATAAAATAATTTCTTTTTCGTCATAGGCGAAATGTCTGGTGGCGGATAGTTCCATTCCCATTTCGGATTAGTTAGGACTGTTAAATTTAGGACTGTAGGACTGTTCAATTTAGGACTGTTAAATTTAGGACTGTAGGACTGTTCAATTTAGGACTGTTAAATTTAGGACTGTTCAATTTAGGACTGTTCAATTTAGGACTGTTCAATTTAGGACTGTTAAATTTAGGACTGTTCAATTTAGGACTGTTAAATTTAGGACTGTTCAATTTAGGACTGTTAAATTTAGGAATGTTAAATTTAGGAATGTTAAATTTAGGACTGTTAAATTTAGGAATGTTAAATTTAGGACTGTTAAATTTAGGACTGTTAAATTTAGGACTCATAAATTTAGGACCTTTAAATTTAGGACCGTTAAATTTAGGACCGTTAAAATAAGGACCGTTAAATTTAGGACCTTTAAATTTAGGACCTTTAAATTTAGGACCGTTAAATTTAGGACCGTTAAATTTAGGACCGTTAAATTTAGGACTGTTAAATTTAGACATGTTATCAGTACCAAAACTCTCAAAACGCGCGAGTCAAGATTTTATAAATTTTTGGAGAGTAACTAAAAACTTAATAACTTGAATATTTGAATGAAATTTCCATCCATCCATCCCTGTGGCGCTCATACCATGTACGACTATAGACTGCCACACTACTTTCTTCCACTCGGATCTTACTAATGATTTTCTTTGATATTTTACTCAGCTTAAATATGGTGTATAAAATAATTTAATTAGAATAATAAGTAAATAAAACTGTAAAATAAGTAAAAAATACAAACTATTCCATTATTTAAATCCTCCTTCATGATTGCCGACTCCTTGGATGAATCCCATACACATATGAATTCTCTTTCAGCGTAGTCTTGTGTGACAAACCTTTTCCTAATTTTGTCGATGAGGTGTAGAACAGACTTTCCGTGGGGAACAGTACAGTTCTGAATGTCCCAGAAAATTCCAACAGCCTTTTCACCTAAGAACATTAATAAACTGTTAGTAATTCCGAAAAAGGAATTTCATCGATTCTTTTGTTATGTTTATTTTTGTTTTGCTTTTTGTTTTAAAAAGGAAATAGATTTGTTAATACATCTTGTAAATTTACTCAGTTTCAAATGGTAAAAATTGTTAACATTCAAAGTTGTTAACATTCATTTCATAACGAAAAGAATGTGATGTACCGGTAAATACAGAAATCTCTACCATGATAACTTAATAAACAAATGCAATTCAGTTGAGAAATATACTCATAACACGCCCATTTAACACGTATTCTCTAGAGCTACACTGCGATCAAGGTAAGCATACAAATATTTCCGGAATAATCACAACGTTTCCACTATGTTACCAGTTGGTGTCTTGTTTATGTTTTTGGTTATGTTCATAGTGCTGTCAATCGCTAAATTTTTGACTGTGCCGATGTTCATTTTGGTAGACTTTGTGGTGACCGATTTGTTGGGCGTCCCAGTGGTTCTTGGCTGAGATTCGGGGACGGCGTCTACTCCAATACTGTCGGAATGTTGTGAATTCAAACCTCCACAAGTAGCCATTACAGAACACTTTAAAAAAAAAAAAAGTTGTATGTTTATGATAAGTGAGCGTCAGTTCACACCATCAAATTTTGAATCATGCATTTGGTGTGATTTTTATATGATCCTTGTCACAACTTTCAAATTCTATTTGATCAATTCACATTTTTGTCCACAAAAAGAAATAACGCCAAAAAAAGTGCGTTCATTAAAAATTGTAACGCGAAATGTTGAAGCTATTTTGATGGTGTTAACTGACGCTTATAGGTTCGTGTTTGATTCAGCTCATTCATGAATTTGCATAATAATATACTTGATTTAATTAACATGTTAGACCTTGTAGACTTGATTAGGCTTAAATTATGTCTACTGAACAAACACAATTTTGACTAGCTTGGTTTAAAAATCAAATTTAATTAGCTTTTTTGAACTATCTATCAATATATATATATATATATATATATATATATATATATATATATATATATATTTATATAGAGAGCTTGTATACATAATATATCTCGTGTGTGCCCTCTTATTGACCCCGCGTGAGACGCTGT